GAGCGCCAGACGGAGAATCAAAGACAGGAGGAAGACAGAGAGAGGGCACAAGATGTAAAGAGACAAAGGGAGGCCAAGACAGAAAGAGACATGGACAGAGGAACGAGATGGAGACCAGAACGAAGAGAGAAAGCAAAGAGGTAAGGGTGAGAGCAAGTCCCAGAGACCCAGAGAGACAGAGGAAAGGGCTCAGGCAGAATGCCAACCGCCTGCTCCACCCCACAATACACACACCCACAGGGAAAAAGGTCCAGGGAGCAGCAAACATGTCCGGTGCCCAGCCATCCCTCTGTGCCTGCACCCAGTTAAGGGACCCAGGAAGAGCACTCACTACCTCCAGGGTCACAGAGCACTGGACTGTGAGTCTTGGGCTCCAGTGAGATTGGAAGCAGAAGGTGTTACAGCCAGGAGCACAGGCTCTGAGGCCAGACTGCCTGGGTGGAAAACCAGCTGAGTGCCCTTTAGCTCAGTCTCTCAGCCTCAGTTGCCTCATCTGTAAAATGGGGTCACCGTGTGCCTCCATGTATGCAGCTGGGCACCAGCTGGGCCTCGTGAACATGGGCCCTCACCCCCATGGTCTTTGGCCTCCCTTTCTCCTTCTCTTCTCTGTCTCTCCAGGAGGACCCTCTCCAGCTCTCCCCTTTGCCTGCCAGGAAGCACGGGAGGCACCAGGTCAGCAGCTGTTTCCAGTCTGACGGACACCTGCCCACTGCCAACAACACCCCCAGAGGGGGTCCCGCCTCAGCACACTCTCCCTGGGACCTGTGCCCTCCCTGCAGAAAACCTCCTCCCCTAGTGCCCGGACACCCATCAGTGCAGCTCACGGCACATCCCACAGCTCCAGCTCCTCGAAAGCCAGGAAAATAAATGCCAAAAATCGTATTTGTCCCATTTAAAAAAAAAAAAAGTGCTACATTAACTGGCAGGAGGGAGGGAGGGCGAGACAGGAGGAGAGTGCAGAGCTTGTGGGCCTCACTAAACCTATGAGCTGCAGTCGTTCAGAGATTTCAATGCTCCAGTTACAGGAGAGTTATAACCTCATGATTAAAACCTCCTGGACCCAAGGCTGAGGAAGGGGCCAAGAGGTCAGGATGGCTCAAAAGTACAAGATTCAAAAAGGTGAGGAAGGGCAGCTAAGGGAGCTGCAAGGGGATGGTGGCAGCGATGTCACCCCCTCAGAGAGGTCTTCCCTGGCCACTCTCCCTGAGGGGGCCCCTCCCCTCCTCCTCCAAACGCCAGCAGGGTAGTGCCTGCATTTCGTGGCACACCTGGCTTTCTGTCTGCCCTGACAAGATTGCAGGTGGGAACCACATTCTGTTTGTTCAGCCTTGATGCCGTGTGTCTGGCAGAGGAGGTGCCTTTGCAGTATTTTCTGAAAGGAAATAGTTAATTCTGGCTAACAGGGCAACTTGCAACATATGAGCAGATGGCTTGTAGAAAGGGAAAAAATCAGCTGGGCGTGGTGGTGGCCACCTGTAGTCCCAGCTACTCGGGAGGCAGAGGCAGGAGGATGGCTTGAACCCAGGAGGTGGAGGCTGCAGTGAGCTGAGATCACGCCATTGCACTCTAGCCTGGGTGACAGAGCAAGACTCTCTCAAAAAAGAAAAAGAAAAAGAAAAAAGATTTAGAATTCAAGGGGAAGAAAGTTCCAGGCAAGGGGCTTCAATCCTAGGGGACAGGCCAGAAGGATCTCAGCCCTCTGTCACTGCCTGTGCAGCCTGGGGGTCCCTTGACCTCCCTGGGCCTTCCTTTTCCAGTCTGAGGGCGGGGACAGCACATAAGTAGGGTAAGTCCCTGGGAACCCTCTGGCCCTGGGATTGAATAGGGTGTGGCAGGTGTCATATAATTAAAAATTAGCATTCTATTGAACCACATGAAATTGACTTTCTTGTGGATGAAAAACGGTGAAATATAGGCAATTTCATATGGTTCAACTTACACAGTAGTTCTAATAACAGGGCTTTGCAGAGACCATGATAACAGGGTTGAGCCACACAGCAGATCCATCTAGTACAAAGAAACGAGGGGCTGGGTAAAAGGATCCCTGAGTTCTCTTTCAGACCTGTCTATTTTGGGGTGTTGAGAGTTTGCCCTAAGTGGTATAAAACAAGTCACCCTCTCCACCTGAGCCAAGTAAAGAGGGTTCGCCTGCCCTGCCTGTCCACAGGGCTGTTTCAAGGCGACAGCGGGGCGGCGCTTGGAAGATGGAAAGAGCTGTCCAATGCAAAGCGAGATCGCCTCCATTCAATGCTCAGGACCCCGCGCTTCCGCCCCACGCACCTTGCACAGGAGCAAAGATCCCAGGGTGCAGCTAGAAGGTCTGGGAAACGCCTAGAACGGGGAGGGGAAGAAAGGAAGAGCGAATACACAGAGCAGGACACACAGAGCCACACAGGGGCACAGTCAGGAAACTCACAGGGACACACTTGGGGACACACCCACACACTTGTCAGTTCATTGCTGCAGCACGAAAGTGTTCAGAAAAGAGGGGAACGTTGAGGCACAGTCCGGTGGAAGAGCGCGGGAAACGCTGAGAGGCCCCGGGGCCCAGTAGGTGGCGCTGTGACGAGCGCCCGGTGAGGGTGAGGGCTGCGGCCGAGGCGGGCACCGGCGCCAGGCTGCGCGGTGGCGGGCGGGGCGGGCTGCGGGGAGGCGGCGAGGGCTGGAAAGCCCCGGGGCAGGCTGAGCGCGGGGTTCCCTCCGCTGCGGGCTGGGAGTCCGGTGTGGTCCCTCCATGCTGTCCCGGGTTCTGATACCGTGGACTGAGCCAGACCCCAGAAACCCTGGGGTGCCGGGAGGTGCGGCCGGTCCCAGGAGTGACGACCGGCGCTGTGGCTGGTAACGGTGGCCACCGCACACCTGGGCCTTGTCGGGAGAAAAAAGCTCCGGGGTGCGAGGGCCCCGGCGTTCTCCGTGCGCTCCCCTGCGCCCGGCTGTGTGAGGCGGAGAGAGCGGGGATCCACCCACGAGGAGCGGAGGCGCCAGACAGTGCAGCACGAGAGTGCCGCTCGGGCGGCCGTGCACGGAGCAGCCGGGAAACTCCCGACCCCTCTTCACGGAGTCCGCACCTCGCAGCTCCATCTTACCACGTCCGTCAGGGGCCCCACCTCCCAGCCTCAGGGGATGGTTCAGGGGCGTGCAGCCCCCCCCCCCCCCCCAGGGAGGACAATAGCGGTTCTTCACTCCAATCGTTGTTGGGAGGTATGGGAGCTGAACTGCTGCAGGCTGTTGGCAGCGAGTGTTTTCTGCTGCATGAACTAAGAAGTAGAAAAGCCTGATCATCAGAGAGAGAGGGGCAAGGAGACAGATTTCCAACAGGGTCTGCACGCCTAGCTCCTGTTCTTGAGACCAACACAGTCCTGCTTTCAGCCTCCGCCAGTCACCACAGGGCCTTTGAGCCAAATACTGTTTTTGCTTGAGCTGGTTTGAATTCTGTCATTGCCTCCCAAACAGCACCGAAGACTACACAATACACACACATGCACGTGCACACACACACATAGTAAAATAAAACAAGAAACGACAAGTGTGAACAAGCTTTCATGGGAAGACCTCTGAGGGCCCCAGCTTCCCCACCTCCCTGCTATGTGACCTTAGGCAACTTCCTAACCTCTCTGAACCTCAGTTCCCTTTCCTGTGACATAAGAACAATAGCATCTCTTTTGCAGGATGGTGCAATGCTCTCCAGTTCACCTTTCAGTTGAACAAAGTTGGCTTTATTGACTCCTTGCACTGGAGGGGAATGCACACCCCTGGATGTGTCTGGGAGGGGATGTTAGCAGGGCGATCATGGGATGTTGGCTTGCGTTAAGTGATTTTGTGGGCTGTTTCTCTGGGCTGGATGCTGAAGCAAGGGTAATTCTGTGATTGGGTATGTCAGTGATTCTTAGCTAGACAGCAGGAGAAACAGAGCAAAGCTATAGCTGCAATTAGTTAAGAAACCTTTGAGCCAGGAGGGGGAACGTTTGGGCAGTTTTGTCATTTGGATAATGTTCATGCTTTTGTCTGCGTTCAGGCAGGATTACGGAGGGGTCTCCTCTTTGTTCTGATCCTTCATGGTTACGGAGCGGTCTTATCTGATGTTTCTGGGCTGTAAAACTGTTCACGGTCAACAGAACACCCTGGCCTGGCTGTGAGTGCCAGTCCAGCCGAGGCTGTCAGGGGGCTTTCCCCTTACTTAGTTGTTATGAGGATAATGTGCCCATACTTGGAAAACCATAGTTAAGATTTCAGCTGTGCTGGAGCAGCAATGATCTGGAGGTTGGTGCATTGTGGCAGAGGCTGCCAGTGCCACAGAGGCTCAGGGAAGGATGAAGATGCACAGGCATGCTTCCAACAGCAGCGAGTGTTGAAGCTGGGTTTTCGAGGATGAATAGGAGTGTGAGAGGAGGAAGGATGACTCCAAAAAATCAGAGCAGAAGCCTGATTAGCTCACTTTGGTGGGTTGCCGTGGTGCCTCTCTGCCCAGAGGCAGTGATCCCCCATAGTTGACCGGGGATCCCCCAGCCCCACTTGACAACAGGACCCAGGCTGCACCAGGAGGAGCCCATGCCAGTCAGCACATCACATCCCCACGGCCCGCGGCTGTGTAGGGCAGGCCGATGAACTGACTGGTCCAATAAGAGAGGATCACAAACTTTGCTGGGGATGCTGGACAAAGCCTCCGACTGTTTTACATGTTTTAGAGCCTCAAAGGATTTTGTCCCAGAGCTGCTGGTGGCTACTCTGTGACTTTGAGGAGGAACACTTGCAAGAGAGAGAGCCTGCCCAGGAGAAAGGCAGAGAGGCGGCCAAAGAGGAAGAGAACAAAAGCCTGCGTGGCCCCTGGAACCCTGAGTTCAGCTGTTCCTGAATCAGATTATGTCCAGGACATTTCCATACCATGAGCTGATAAATTTCTTCTAGGCTGAAGCTGGCTGGAATTGTGTTTCTGTTGCTTGCAACCAAAAGACCTTGACTAATCCACGGGCTGCTCTGATCCCAGCATCCACACAAGACCCCAGCCTCCTGTTCTTGATCCAGTTTCACAAATGGATCCTCCTCCTATGCCAGGCCTTCCTGACTTCTCACTCTCTTGGCCACTCATGCTAATTCCAGGCCTCTAGGAGAAGAAGCCCCACACAGGCACTTATGGGGCTCCTACTGGGTGCATCCTCACAGCCATCCTGCAGGGGAGGAAGCAGCATCCCCATTTTATGGATAAGGAGGGGGCTCACAGGTCCAAGGTCCCATCACCATTAAGCAGTGAGGCCACATGTAGCTGATTTCAGAGATTTACTCACTATGCCTGGCCCCTCTCAAATGTTGGCTTCTAGTCCAGTAAATTAGTCCACAAAAGTTATCCACAAATAGTTACTGAGCACATATGATTGCACCCAGCTAGCCTCTGACACAACCCCCTGGAGAAGGGCCATCCCAGGATTAAGAAACCAGCTTTCCCCACACGGGACCACGCATCAGCATAACACAGGTGCTGGGTCTGGGGTGGCAATAGCAATGGAATGGAAGCTTCACTAAGGACGAACAGCAGCATCTGCTTTACAGAGGCAGGCCTGAAGATCAGGCAGGAAGGGAGAAAGGAGAAAGAAGGTGAAGTCTCTTGTTTGACAATAGGAAACCACTCCCTTGAGCGTCTGGACCTGATTCCTGGCTTTGGGGTCAGGCAGACCTTAGGTCCCTACCTATCCTTTCCAAGCTGTGTGACTTCGCCTGCCTGAGCCTCAGTTCCTCTCATGTAGAGTAAAGATAATAATGGTGCTCCTTCCTCTGGCTGTTGGATGGCTATTCTAAGCTGCTCAACTCATTCCCCCTCTCAGTCCCAGAGCCTAGCACCTGGGATGGCATTAACCTTCCAGGAGTTGATGATGCACCTGCTGGCACCAGGGTGTCTGGTGGACCTGGCTGCTGCTCGAGGAGGGACTTGTTTCCTCCTTTGACTCCCACTGGACCCATGAAATTGGGCTATAGGCTGAGCTGGTGAGGCAAGGACAGAAGGCAAGGACTGAGCTGGTAGTCAGGCTCCTGGGAGCCAGGTGGCCCCAGGAACTGACCATGCAGGCCCCAGTCCCCACGCTCTTTGTAACTTCCTCTCACTACCCAGGACCACATGAAAGGAAGCACCAGGAAGACAGAGCTTTGGATTGCTCGGCTCATTGATCCATCACGGCACCTGGAACGGAGTCTGACAAAGATGAGGTGCTTTGTCCACATTCATGAATGAATATGAGCCTAACCCTGGTGGAAAAGGGGCTGTTTGGTAAGATAAAAGTTGAGATGTTGTTAGCATACTGCACACAGGAGTTTTCCTAGGAGAGGCCATTGACGGGGTCTGTTTGGTTTTCTTCTGTGAAGCACTTGAGGTTGCTGAAGCCGGGTGCTCAGAAACAAATGCCTTCAGAGGCCAGGCAGGTGACGGAAATGTGGATGGGCACAGGTGTTGACCAGGATGGATGTGTGGGGACTAGGGGCAAACGGAGAGGGCTTTTTGCACCTAAAGACATTCAAACTGCAAAAACTAAGCTCCACTTCTGCAGCTAATGAGAGGCCATCTGAGGGCCATGTCCATCTGAAGGTCCCATCCTACTCAGGGCCTCCCAGTCATGATTCCTGAGTCCTTCTCCCTGCAAGCCTAGTGAGGCCGGCCAGGGTACTGCTTTCATGTGTGGGATGGGGACATCAGGCCCCAGGTCAGCTCCAGCCCCATCTGCATCATTCATGCTCCCTAAGAGACTGGCATCCCAACTCTTCAAAGGAAGCAGAGTCCCTTCCCTACTGCTGTTGCTGCCTTCATAGCCTCACCTGGGTTCCTGGCGCTGGCACCTGGCAACCTTATGCCCCCAGGACCAACCCCCAGGCCTTCACATATGCACACAGACACAGGGCATGCCTGTGTGCACCCAAGCACCTGCCCCCCAAAGGCATACTCAGGTGCTTTGGGGCACCTTCTGCTCTATTCAGAGATCCCCTTCTCGAGGAAGTCCTCCATGATTACACTCCCTCATTTTGCATGCTAGATCTGCCCCTCCCTCTCTCCAGACCTTCATCACACCTCACACTGACCTGTGGCATCCTCTCCCCTGGGGACAGGAACTGTATATGGTTCTGATGGGGAGGAACTGTATGTGACTCACCTCTGTGCTCCCAGCACAGGCTTAACACAGAGCAGGTGCCAAGTGTTTATGGAGTGCACAGGAGAAAGTTACGCAGCATCACAGATATTAGGCTTCCTAGGATCAAATCCCTGTATGGCTACCTACTTGCTGTATGACTTGCAAACCTCTTTGTCCTCAGTTTCCCCACACAATATAGGGATAATAATAGTGTCAGCTGGATGCGGTGTCTCACACCTGTAATCTTAGCTCTTTGGGAGGCAAAGGTGGGCAGATCACCCGAGATCAAGTGTTGGAGACCAGCCTGGCCAACATGGTGAAATCCCATTTCTACTAAAAATACCAAAATTAGCTGGGCTTGGTGGTGCATGCCTGTAATCCCGGCTGCTTGGGAGACTAAGGCAGGAGAATCGCTTAAATTGGGGAGGCGGAGGTTGCAGTGAGCCAAGATCATGCCATTGCACTCCAGCCTGGGCGACAAGAGCAAGACTCTGTCTCAATCAATCAATCAGTCAATATGCCTAATTCTCCAGTGTGGTGAGTATTCAGGGTTTGTGCAGCAGGTCTGGGCACATGGCTCCATGCGCAAGTGTTTGCTGCCATTGCTGCACTGGTTCCAGGTGGATGTGGGAGGATTCAGTACAATCAGGAACCATTCCTGTGGCCTTTGCAGAGAGACACCCCAGCAGAGGGGCTAGACAGCAACCTCCCAGATGTGCTGGCCCAGCAGCTGGGCTCCCTTAGACTCAGTATTGACCCCTGCTTGTCATGGGGCATGTGGCCTCTTCCCTGAGCAGCACTGTGTGGCGGGGATGGGCAGGCCTCGCAGGTCGGATTGATTTTGAAATCTTGTCTCTTACACAGGAAAAGGTCATGTTTGCAGGCAGGTGTCCCGAGGCCTCTTTCCAGCAGGGCGCCCTGTCTGAGCCACGGGACTTCCATTAGCATTAATGGGGGGCTCTGGGCAGAGGGCTTCAGCTGGGGATGCCTGGGGGCCCGGGGGCCCGGCGGGGGTGGCAGACGTGAAAATCATTCCTGATGAAGCTGCTTAGAGAGTTGGTCTGTAAGGCAGGGGGGCTATGCAGGCAATTCCAGGCTTGTATGCCTGAGTTTGCCAAGAGCAGGTGGGGGGACTCTGGTAGTCCTCTCAGCACTGGAGTCTCCACAAAGGCTGGAGCAGTAGGCTCTCCATCCTCAGACCCTCAGGCAGGGCTGCATCCAGCTGCCTGCTGGAACCTGCCCCCCAAAAAGCAGCAGTGGTTCTGCCCTGGGAGTAGGGCACAGCTCCTGCACTCTGTGTCAGCCTCTGCTGTGACTGGGACAGGTCTGGGAGAGGAGGCTCCTTGGAGAGAGGGGTTAGACCAGCCCTCAACATTCCCTGAGGCTCTAAAATTAGGACCAGATTTCAGATCCTTGAGCTCTGCCCAAATTCCCACCACTGAAGTCCTCATGGTCCCCTCTGGCTGTCCACTGGGAGTGGGACCAGCAGTTCAGAATCATGCTCCACAGGGATCTCAGAGCTGATTCCAAAGTCATGAAGTGCTCACAGGCTGGATCTGATCTGTCATTGAGTATTGTGTAGCCATAGCAGAGTTTTAACATACCATTTCAAAATTAGCTGACAACATTTCAAAGTTGGAGGATTTTGTGTTTTAAAAGATAGAGATTTATAGCTTGGCTTGAAATATTAGAATCTCTGGCTACTCCAGGCTGGCATCCCCATGTCACCAGCCAGCTGCCTGCTACAGACCTGCCTTGTCAGCCACAGTCCCCACCACTCCCTATCACTTCCCTCACAGGCATTGAGTGTAAGGCGCACTTGTCACCACGGTTGCACCTGGTTCACCTCATTCGTTCTTATTGCCTGAAGCCATGGGTGTTGGGACTGGCTTGTTGCAGTGGCTGAGGGCCAGAAAAGCCAGCCCATTTGGACCTTACAGCTTTTGGACTTGCTGTCCCTTCACCTATGTTTTATTTTAATAGAGATGGGGGTCTCTCTATGTTGCTCAGGCTCGTCTTGAACTCCTAGCCTCAAGTGATCCTCCCACCTCAGTCTCCCAAAGTGCTAGGATAACAGGCCTGAGCCACCTCACCCAGCCATTCCCTCCGCTCGGAATGCTCCTCTCCTGGATGGCCACATAGCCGCACATTTCATTCAGATTTCTGCTCATACGTCCTAGAAACCGTTCCTGCCCACACCCATCACTTCCCCCTCCGCCTTACTCTGCCTCCTCCTTCTCCAAAGCGCTAATTTCCTCCTGGCATAGAACACATTCATCCGTTTATTCGCCCCTTGTCTCCAGTCCACCCCAATGGAATAGCTCCAATAGAATGTCAGCTCCCTGAGAACTGTAACTTTGTGTGTTTTATTCATTGGCTTGTCCTCAGCCCCTGGGTAGGACTTGGCACACAGCAGTGTTCAATGCATACTTATGAATGAATGAAAAGGGAAAAAGGAAGGATGTGAGACTCTAGACAGCAAGGAAGCCTTGAATGTCAGTCTAAGGAGCAGGAATGGGACCTTTCCATGAGCTACGGGCAGGAGACGGATGGGCCAGATTTGCCTTCCTGACAATGTCTCTGGGAACAGCCTTCTAGGCAGTTCTGTGGCCCCTTCAGGCACCGCGTTTCCACATCAGCCGCATGATCTATATAACAGGCAGCCACCATGTGGTCAACAATCTAGGGGGATAAGTGCAACAGCCATGGCTCCTGCCCTCAGGGAGCTTCTGTTTAACTGGGCAGAGAATAGAGCACAGGATAAAACAGGGAGAGGGAGTACATTCCCACCAGGCTGTAATCTCTGTGGAGCAAGCACATCATTCAATAAATATTTATTGAGCACCTACTATGTGCCAGGCCCCTGCCCTTAGAGTTCAGTCTGGTGATAGAGATAGGCATTTCATCCAACAAATATACATTCTAAATACAAACCGAAGGGAGCTTGAAAAGAAAGGAGAGAGGCTTTACAGGCTCCTGGCTTGCTCTTCATTCATTGAACACACAGTAGGTGCTCATATCTATTTGCCAAATGAATTAGTGAATGAATGCATGGTTCTTTTGAGGACTAGCTCAGAGAGCAAGGAGATGTTGGGGAGCTGCAGAGACAGTGCTGGAAGACAGGAGGGAAGGAAGATAGAGGACGAGGGAGAAAGATTGAGGACTAAGGCGGGTGTTACCGCAGAATCAAGGGTTTGTTCCTCCCTACATGTGACCCCACACTGGACACTGAGCGCTGGGCAGGGCTCTCCTTGGGAGAAGAAGGGGACCTCCTTTTCCTTTCTCAGGAATGAGTGCTGTCCCTACCCCACCCTGGGCGGCCTGGGCACCACTTGGTCTGCCATTTTGATGCTCTCGGCGGGACCAGGATGCTGTAAACACCCATACGCAACTCTCCTGCAGGGTCTCCGGGTTGCCAGCAATCACGGCCATCTGCTCACATGGCACTGCGCCCAAGCCCCTCACCCGGGGAGCTGTGCCAGGCAGCGATTGGTTCTGAGGCGTGCCCCTCAAACTGGGCGGGGAGCCTCCTCTTCTGAGAGGCCCCAGGGGAGTAGGGGAACAAAAGACAGATTTCTTTTTCCTAGGAAGAAAAAGATCAATTTCACTTAAGACTCAGCACAAAATGAGGAGTGGAGGAAGAAGCAGAGATGAGTGTCTATGGGGTCCTGAATATTCAGAAGCTGTCTTTGCATAGCTCAGAGTCTGGGGCGATGGGAGAGGCAACCAGGGCACGCTCCATGTTTAAAACATCCTTCGAAAGTCGTGGTTTCTTCTTAGAGACACCCCCTTCTCCAGCCATTCCCTGGTGGCTTGGCCTCTGCAGGGGACCAGGGAGGGGAGCCACAAGGCCTTTTCCCATGAGAAGCTGCAGAGAGTACTGGCCTGGCAGTCCACCCAGCTGGACTATGCAAGAGTGACATGGCTTTGCACAGTCCACTGGCTTCTGTGAACCCCTCCTAAAACATAGGTGACAGGATGGTTGTGGGGATTACATGGGACAGGAGGCAAAGTGGCATGTCTCTCTGAAGCAAGGAAAGGCCCGGCAGTGGTGCGGCTCGGTGCTGTGCATGTCCCTTGCGTGTGCGCACACAGTTGTGCATGTCTAGTGAGCACGCCTTTCTACATGTGATGTGCTGGGATCCAGCTGTGTCTCCATGGATGTGCGCGTACTTGACCACATCCCCAGGTGGGCCCCTTTGGATCTGCATGTGAGACTCCAGGAGCCTATCTGGTATGTTCTGGCTCTTGCCCATATTTGTGTTATGGGATCATGGAGGTTCGAGCATGCACCAGTGTGTGTGCACACAAAGGGCTCGTGTTCTGAGCTCACCCGCCTCTGGGAGCCCCAGTGACAACGGCAGATGGAGCAGGGGGAGTTGGCTTCGAGTGAGGTCCTGGACTCCGAGTTCTTTTCCAGCCGCTCAGCTTCCAGGGTGGGTCCGCCTGGAGCAGGCAGAGGCCACATCACCTCCCTAGTGGCTTATCCTCAGCACACCCTGCCCACCGTCCAGCTGGCATATGCCAGGGTCTGGCACTCATTTCAAAATCCACATCAGAAAGAGGCTGGCCATGGTGAAATCATCCTGGTCACCCCAGTTCCACATGGGACTGTCTGCACCTTCCTACTATAGCAAGCGACCTATGCCCCCACCAGGGGACAGACAGAGGGGTCCCACAGTGTTGACCCTGTCTCCGTGCTCCCTGGAGAAGGCTAGAGATGGGAGGGGAGCTATGGCTCAAGGGCCTGAAGGGTGGTCGGAACAAGAGGAGCAGAGAAGAGGAGGCCAAGCTGTTCACTGCTTACGGCACCCAACAGTTTATTGGTTTCCTTCCCCTGCGGTGGCCTATTTCATCCTCCGCCCTGCCAGGCCAGAATGATAACCAACCCTACTGCACAGGTGAGGAAGCTGAGGCTCCGAGAGGGGACCAAAATTGTACTGTGATGACAGTGACCCTGGCTCCAAAACCTCTCCTTTGGCAGATGAGTAGGCACGCCTGTGTCAGCTTTGTGGGTAAGAAGCTTGTTTCCCGGGGCAGCCTAAGCAGTGGGCCAGCTGACTGTAAGTGCTAATGAGCCAGACAGGGCTGTTTCTTTGGTTTTGGGGTTTTTGTTTCGTTTTGTTTCGAGACAGAGTCTCGCTCTGTTGCCCAGGCTGTAGAGCAGTGGCACGATCCTGGCTCACTGCAACCTCCGGCTCCCAGGCCCAAGTGATCCTCCCACCTCAGCCTTTTGAGTAGCTGGGACTACAGGCTTATGCCACCATGCCCAGCTAAGTTTTTGTATTTTTTGCAGAGACAGGGTCTCACTATCTTGCCCAGGCTTGTCTCAAACTCCTGGGCTCCAGTGATCTGCCCACCTTGACCTTCCAAAGTATTGAGATTACAGGCATGAGCCACTGCACCTGACCCAGATGCTGTGGTAAAGGCTTATTTAATCCCCTCAATAATCCCATGAGGTGAGTATTAGAATTACCTCATTTTACCCATGGAGACACTGAGGCTCTCAGA